CGTTGGCTGCTGGCTGGGGGGAGGAAGGAGAAAGAGCTGGAAGAAAAGGTCACCCCCCCCCCACACACACCATGCATGGTCCCAGCTGGGGATAGGAAGGACCTCTCCCACCCCACCAACCTGGGTGTTGCCACGCTGGAGGGAGGTGTTTCCAGAGCAACACTTGAGCTCCATCTGAGCAACCGTTCTGGGTTGTGTTGCAGCCAGGACAGGGCAGGTCCCTCCATCCCCACACCCTCCACCTCTGGAGATCTGAATGAAGCCCCACACCATGCATGGTCCCAGCTGGGGATAGGAAGGACCTCTCCCACCCCACCAACCTGGGTGTTGCCACGCTGGAGGGAGGTGTTTCCAGAGCAACACTTGAGCTCCATCTGAGCAACCGTTCTGGGTTGTGTTGCAGCCAGGACAGGGCAGGTCCCTCCATCCCCACACCCTCCACCTCTGGAGATCTGAATGAAGCCCCAAGCTCTGTGGTGTTCCTCACACCCAACCTGGCCTCCTCCTCACATGCCTCTTACCATGGGTGCAGAGGTGCGACCTGGAGGGAGATGATGTCCCTGCAACCTGCTCCAAGGGCCCAGATGACTTCATGACCCACGGGGTCTGTAGAGCTCCTGGAATGGGACAGAGGACAGAGGTGGCCCCCACTGATGGCAGTGACACAGCTGGGGGCTGTGTCTGCAGCCTCATGCTGCACCTGGAGGTACAAATCTGGCCATTAATTGTAACCCATGACCTGCCCATGAACCAGGCAATCCCAACACCAACCCATGCAGGGAGGCTGAAGGCGTTTCCCTCTGGAATGGTGTCTACGGATGTGCAATGTCAACAAGGATGGGAGAAGGTGGGGTTGAAGGTGAGGCTGAAGGTGAGACTGAAGATGAGTTTGGAGGCAAGGTTGAAGGCACAGGCTGAAGGTGAGGTTGGTGGTTGCAACTGAGGGTGATGGTTGCAGGTGAGGTTGCAGGTGAAGGCAGGAGTCTTCCAGATGCAACAGTGGCAAGTGCCAGGGCCATGTACCCAACATCCCTGCAGATCCCATTGGGTTGGTTTCACTTGTCACCTTCCCAGCCTGGATGGAGAAGGTGCCAGGAGGTGGTAAAGATGTTTCAAGTAACTTCCAGCCAAGGGAAGTGGCTGCTCTGTGGCCTCCGTGGTTGTGCTGCAACACCTGTTGGCCAGATGTTGCTGCAGGTGTTTGTGGTGGGCTCCTCCTTGGCCTTTTTGGAGGTGTCAAAACGGGCCTCACAGGCTGCTGCTGGAGATGAGCAGGGAGGTAGTGGAGATGCAGGTGTATTTTGTGGCACTGCAGCTTTCACTGGTGCCATCTGCTCCCTCCACTGAGCCAATGGAGGTGAGATGTCAGGAGCCTTGTCCTGCTGCTGCCACCAGCCCAGACAGAGGCCCCTGGTTGCTTCACCACACTGGGCTCCCTCCTGAAGGCCAAGGCTGCTCTTCCTCCCTCTGAATGACCTACTTCAAAGCTCCAGGCAAGCCTAAAAATAAGTGATGGGCATTATCTTGGGTGTTTCACATGTCTCCACCAAGGGTGCCTGCCAAGAACCCCTTGTCAGGGTGTTGGGTTAATTAGAGCACGAGTCATAGTCACAGGTTAACGAGGTGCCAGGTGCACTTGTCCTTGCTCTGAGGCCCTTGGAAGGGCCCATGGAGGAGTTCTTGGATGAAACCCAGCAGCCTTGGGCCACCTCACAGGGGGGCATCCCCAGATCAGAGACGTGTCTGAGCTGGCTTGGTCCAACATGGAGGTGCTGGCTGGGTTTGCTTCCCCACCTGAGGGCTTCTTCCTCCTGGGCTGGATGAAGACACCCACTGGCTGCAGGTGATATGGATGCAGAGGCTGAAGTGGTCATCTACAGGGTGCAGCAGAGCAAGGAGCATCCTCCTTGGGAGTGTAGGAAAGCTAAATCCTGTCTCCACAAGCAGCAGAGCCTCTTCAGGAGGTGGCCAAGACCAACGAGCAGTCAGTGATCTCCACCAGGACCTGTGACCTCCTTCAGAACTGACATCTATGTGCCTCGTGTCCGTGTTCTTGGGCAAGGTCTCCAAGCTGTGTTTCAGCAATCCCATGGCAGAGCTCTTCCTCCCTCCCAGCAAAGAAGGACCCCGAGGTCTTTTCTCCCCATTTGAAGCCTTCATCAGGGGGCCACAGTCAGGTGGGACCTCACCAGGCCCTGGTGTTGGTGCACCTCATCTTCACCCTTCTCTAACATAAAGCAGTGTCCCCACACCAAGACCCTGGAGACGCCTCCAGCTGGGGTGAGGTCAGTAACAGGACGGTGGGAATGGAGCTGGAAGGGAAACATCTGCAGGGGAACATGCCAGAAGAGGATGAGAGTTGCAAGGACACCTTGCACCTGGGGACCCTGGGGCTGCTGCTGGGCTGGGGGCACGGAAAGCTGTGTCCTTCACACCTGGCCAGATGTGCTGCGTTCTAACCGGCAACGGGGATGGGCACCAGAGGAGTCCTAACCACATCCCATGGGTATTCCCAAGCCTTCTCCCATCCAGGAGACCAGGGGGCAGGTCCCTGTGGGCACAGGGGAGGCTGCTGGGGGCCGTGCTTACCTGTAGGTGACAGCCTGCAGGGCCCGGCAGTAGCAGCTGGCCAGCCAGAGCGAGCGGTCGGTCAGCACGTTGGGGCAGTGCGAGATGCGCAGGATCAGGAGGTTGCCACCCGTGGCCTTCAGCAAGGATTCCAGCCCTGCTTCCAGGCAGCCCCTGCCACGGAGGGAGGCAAGGGTCAGGCGTGGGCGCCCACGCTCCCCCAGGGTCACCCCGGGGACAGTGACACGTGCCGTGGGGAAGCTGTGGATCCCAAAAAGCCACAGCGGGAGCTGGTGTGTGATGAGGGTGTCAGTGGAAATGGGATGTTGAGGGCACCAGCATCCCTGAGGGCCAGAGGAAAGGGCCTCAAGTTGCACCAGGGGAGGTTCAGAGTGGATATTAGGAGAAACTTCTTCGCTGAAAGGGTTTTTAACCAGTGGCACAGGCTGCCCAGGGAGGTGGTTGAATCACCATCCCTGGAGGTGTTTAAAAGCCATGTAGTTATGGTGCTGAGGGACATGGCTTAAGCACTGGACTTGGTAGAGTTGGGTTAATGCTTGGTAGAAATAGGTTATGGTAGGACTCAGTGACCATAAAGGTCTTTTCCAACCAGAAGGATGTGATGATTCTGTGGTTCCTACGGCCACCAGCCTGGCTGTGGGAGGAGGGTGCCCAAGGCACAGGGACTCACCGTGTGCTCTTCATGTAGTCCTCCTTGCTCTCCTTCTTCCCTCGCTGGCGCGGCTTGAGGTTCTGGAGGGTGAGGGAGTGCATCTGGGTGCACCACTGAGACAGCATGGCCAGGAACTGGGGGGACAGGGGTGGCTGTCACCAAGGGGGATGCTCTCAGCACTCCCCATGCCACCCACCCCTGGCTGTCTTTGGGTAGATCTGTACAGGTGCCTCCACACACACCTAACGTGAGTTTGTGGGAATGCAGACAGGAGGTCAGGCAAGGGTGGGTGCAACAAAACCGTGGGGGTGACCACAAAAGCACGTGAAAAACGTGTGCATGTGTGAGCCCACAGCCACAGGCAAGCACGGGTGGGTGTGGAGCACATCCAGCCACTGGAGCTTCCAACACAGGAAGGACATGGAGCTGTCAGAGTGGGTCTAGAGGAGGCCATGAAGATGCTCAGAGGGCTGGAGCAGCTCTGCCCTGGAGAGGCTCCCTCTCTGGCTGGGAGAGTTGGGGTGTTCAGCCTGGAGAAGAGAAGGCTCCAGGGAGACCTTAGAGCAGCTTCCAGTGCCTGAAGGGGCTCCAGGAAAGCTGGGGAGGGGCTTGGGACAAGGGCAAGGAGGGATGGGATGAGGGGGAATGGATCACAATTCAAAGAAGGGAGATTTAGGTGAGACATGAGGAGGAAATTCTTTGCTGTGAGGGTGATGAGAGCCTGGCCCAGGTTGCCCAGGGAAGCTGTGGCTGCCCCATCCCTGGCAGTGTTGAAGGGCAGGTTGGATGGGGCTTGGAGCAACCTGGGCTGGTGGGAGGTGTCCCTGCCCATGCAGGGGGGTTGGGACTGGATGATCTTTCAGGTCCCTTCCAACTCAAACCAGTCTGTAGTTCTATGTTCCCGTGATGACAATGGCATGACAACCCACACCAGCGAGATGCTCGCACAGTTTCACCCTTCTGGAAGCAAGGTCTCCCCCCGTGCTGCCATCCCCATCCCCAGTACCTTGGAGGACACCCTGGCATTGTCCAGCAGCACCCGTGTCCACACGGCTGGGTGCCGGGCCACGAACTTCCAGTCCTTGCACACCTCGGCTGCCCTCAGCAGGGTCCTGGTGTCCAGGTAGGTGAAGATGCAGAAAAGAGCTGCTCTCATCTTGAGGATCTCGGGGCTGATCACCTCGCTGGAGTGGCCGGGGCTGCCCCTCTCCAGCCGGCCCACCTTGCCCGTGGCTGCCTCGGTCCTGGCTACGGGACACCCACTGTCAGTTGCCACTGGTGGCCAGGGAAGGCAGAGACAGACCCCATGTCCCCCACCTCTTCCATCCCGGCAGGGGGAGACCTCATCTCAGCTACTGCTTCCTCATAAGGGAAGGAGGAGGAGCAGGCGTTGGACTCCTCTCTCTGGTGACTTGAGGGAGTGGTGGGAAGATGTGCAAGAGGGGGTTTAGGTTGGACATTGGGAAGAGATTCTTCACCCAGAGGGTGGTGGGGCACGGGAATGGGCTCCCTA